GCAGCTTCTCTCAGTAGAATGAAGGGTGATGTGGGGCACACATCACTCCCTTCATAACTGAAGTTCTTTTCCAGGCTTTTGCCTACACCTTATTACCTACTTATACTATTAATTTATTACACAGGCTTGCCATATTTTAAAAGTAAAGTGAATGTTTTAGATGGATTGCTTTTCTTTTGTTTCTTCCATATTGTTTACTTCTTTTTAAATTATTATTTAGGCTATTTACACTTCCACCTGAAGCAGTTTTGCTTAGCTATTGCATTAATATTTGTGTCTTCATTCTAAACCTTTTTCAAAACAGGATCCTCACATATTGAGTTTGTCTTTTTCCCTCTCATCTATAAATCATTCTTCCTTGGGGTGATTTACACAAAGTAGACTGTTTAGTGAAACTTATTTGCAGTTTGCTCTAAGGAGTGATCCCTCCTCAGTGAGGGGACTGGCACACAGAGCTGGTCTGAGCCCTGCCTATGGCAGGGAGGGCTGGTGGCATTCAGCTAAATGAAATCTGGGTGGAGTTCTGTCCACCAAGGCCACTTGACAGTTCACAGCGGCAACACTGCAGTTGCCCTCACCCTTCCTCACATAGTCCCTTTCTGGTACATTTTAAATTTTCTCCTCTAACGGAATAATGCTTTACATTTTAACTTTGTTACTCTGCAAAAGACAATTTCCTTGGCCACTGTTGAGCTGGACAACTCACTCCAGGCTCATTGCACCAAAATTTTATGTCTTAATCAGTGATTTCTGATTCATTTCAGGTACATAGACCTTGGTGTTAGGGGAAGGGGTTGGGATGGTGACAGTACCATGCAGGGAAGATGTGAATCAGAGAGAAGACTGTCTCATTCATGAATCTTTTCCAGCCCTAGTGCTTTGACTTAAATGTGCCTGCTGAGTACACTGAAGGGTTTCTTTCTGTAAGTAGGATCAATAAATGCAAAGATGATTTTCAAACAGCCCTGACCACTGGTTTGGCTATAATTATTCTTCAGCCCAGGTTGTGTTCATTTATCTAGAGAAATTTGCTAAATAAGTGGTCTCCCTTCCACAGTATTCCTCCAGTGTCTAGCATCACATCTGGGGACACAAAAGTATCTTAACTTACATAGCAAAGTAACCAAATGGTGTGGTGTGACATCATTGTTTGAGGAATTTTGCTCGGCTCCATATGAGATCATGGAGACACTTAAAACAGATTTCATTTTTAAAACCTTCCAATTAGTCTGCTCCCAGGCAATTGTGAAATGAGTCAGGTATGTGTCTCGCCAAGAGCATATTTAGGCAAAGTTGTGGAGTGGGAGACAGGAAAGCTGGGCCTAGGACTAATCCTGGGGGCATTTGTGGGACTGCTGGGGAGGAAGGAAGGAGGTGGGAGGACAGGCCATGGTGGCCTGGGAGGGGGTTGCTGAGGGCAGAGAGGTGCCACCAGATGTTGCTTTGACATGCTGTACTTGTACATGATTCCTCTGGGGAGAGGGACTGAATCTTACGTTAATCTCCACTGCACTGCCTGGCACACAGTAGGTGCTCAATAAATGGTATAGTAATTCTCTTTCTGAAGACACTGAGTTCTTTCTCCTTAATGTTTAGAAAGCAAAAATGGATGGATTTGAAGGAAAAATATGATACTATATATCAATAGCTAACATTCATTGAGTATTTACTATGTGTTAGGCACTGTGCTAATCGCTTTTTACTTATTATTTGATTGTAGGACCATATGGGGCTAGTGCCATTTTACTAATGAGAAAACTGGGCCTTAGAGAGATAAGGAACTGAGCCAAGGTCACCTAACTAATAAGTGGCAGAGCAGAGTTTGGAAACTACACAGTGTCACCTACATTTCTATATAGAGGAGGGGGAGATATAAGGAGGGTGCCTGCGAATGAGGCTCAGCGGAGCTGGAAGTGGCTGAGGTACGGAAAACAAACTAGGACGGGGTGCCAGGAAACCGTCCACCGGTGGATTCTAAAGTGAACCTTCCTGCTGGCTTTACAAGCCTGAGGATGCCTTGGTTAGATTCTGCTCCCTTGGGCCGCTGGCCTGAGGTCGCCATCTCCATTTTAGGCTGAAGCTTTATGTACCTGCTTGGAAGAGGCATTGCAAAGCATTGCACACACCGTATGGGGCTCCATTTGCATCTGGTGAGTGCTCAGCTGTGCACAGTGTCTCCTTAATGAATCACATGCAATCTGAGCATCGCTATATTTATCCAAGCCCTGGGAGCTGGAGCGCCTGCTGCGGTTGGGCTGACTCTCATGCCCCAGAATGGCGCCTCGCAGGTCGTTCCAGTTTTCCTTGTGTCCAGGGCCTTCAGGCCCTTCAGTAACTCATTCCCTGGCAGAATCAACCCACTTCTGAAGTATCTTTCTAGGCATTCTGAAGCCAGAACACGTGTTTCCCTCCCGAAGCTATGACAGAGACCAAGTGCTAAAAAGAGACCTTGAAACTACATCTGCTGTGCCCTTGATTTCAAGGCTACGCTTAAAGCCTTGCAGATAAATAAGGCATTATTTTTCTTTTCTCCTCAAGCTTCTCAGGGGAGGCCCCACAGTGCTGAATGGCCCCCATCATCAATTTATTTCTTCCATATAATTTAAAATTTTTATATATTTTTTTCATTAGTCACTTCTTCCCCAAAATATTCCCTTTATTTATGTACACTCCGATCAGAGAGTTTGCCAGTATGATCACTTCTGCGCTCAGGAATCAACAGCAACAATAATAGCTGACGTTTACTTAACACTTACTAACTGCCAGCTACAATGGTAAACATTTGAAAGGAATTGTCTCATTTTTCTTCCACCTTAAAATAACCCTTTGAGCATTACATCTCCATTTTGTCAATAAGGAAGGTAAGATTCAGAGACATAATTTCTCTGAGGCCACACAGCCAGTATATGGAGGCATCTGGCAGATAGCAAAGCCTTTTTCACTAAATAGATTTGTTTCCTTTCTTCTTTTTCCAACTACAGGCATTTCCTCCAACTCTTCTTATTGCCACTTAGTAAAACCCCAGGCCTAAGTAGCCAGTGTAAACTGCAAGCCATTGTCCCACAGAATCGTTTTGGTTTTTTTTTATCCTTTGTGAAACTTAGCAGGGATCAATGTAATTTCCTTCCCTGGCCTGGAGCGTGGTGTTAAGGCACTGACTCCTGACATGAACAACAAGGAGCAGCTTGGGTTCCCACAGAGGCAGAGGCAGATGCCCCGGTCTTGTCCTCAGGAGGTTTGTGTCATCTGCCCTCCCCTGTTAGGGCGCAGAAGGAGAAGAATGCGGAGTTCCAGTTCCAGCGACACTCCCGGCACAGTCTGTGACTTAGTCCTAGAGCAATCACAGCATATCTTGCTGGAGAAATTAAATTCAGTTTCCTACAAAGTGTGAAAGTTGAGTGGAAGGCCTTGACTTAGGCTTACAGGTTAAAAGTCACTTTTCCTTCTCACCTCTATCAAATAGCATTTAAAAGACGGCGTGAAGCCAAGTCACTTTCCCACCCTGGGTCTCAGTGTCCTCAACCACACAGTGAGAAACACAGACTAGGCACTCACTGGCCTTTCCCACAGATCTTGATCTAGAACTCTAGGGAGCTGCGGAGAGAGGAGGAGAGAAGCTGCTTTAGGCACTCCTGGTTCCTCTTGCCTCCGTGGCCTTGAGCTAGACACCCAGAAAGTCAGCAGCAACTGCCGGCTCATGGGCTCTTCAGCACTGGCTTCCCCTTAAGCTTCTCACTTCAGGAGGGCTTTAGGAAGGGGTCAGTTAGGAAAAAGAAGAGAAAGAAGGAGAGCGACTAGAGACACAGAGAGAGCAGCAGAGATAAACATACAGCCGCACGGAGAGACAGAGAGCGAATGATGCTCAGAAGACAGAGAGGCGCACTTACAGAGAAAGGAAGTAGAAGAGAAGCAGAAAGAAGAGAAAAGGGGGCCAGAGGATGGCTGGGGATTTAGTGGAGACAGCGCTGAGGTGGCCTTGATGCACTGCCAGTCCTGTGGTTGACAGAGCAAACAAACCTGTGAAGTGTGCCAGCGCTTTATCTGAGGAAAGCACCTTTGCCACAGCCAGCAGCCCGGTAGTGTTGACTGTGAATGGGGCCGTGACAGGAGACGCTCTTTATCTGAAACGGGAACAGAAGCCATCTTCTCTGTATTCCGCACGGGATGCCACAGATTAGGCTGCGGATATTTCATGGTCGGCAATAGAGGCTTGTCGAGAGGCTTTGGGCTGAACAGCACTCTCAGACTGGGCCAAGAGGGTGATAAGACTCAGGGGCCTTTTATACAAGGGGATGATTTCTATAAAATGTCACATGTGTGTCTTAGCACAGGGCCTGATAATCTCTGTTAGGATACCTGTCAAGATGTTAACAATCACTAATCACTGGGCGGGATTACTGAGGAGTCTCACTTTGTAAGTAATGCTTTTCTGCAATGTGTACATTTTTTACAGTAACAGCACAAGACCTTTATAATTAGAGGAATAGAAGATTTAAATTAGGTAATAAGTATGCTCCTGAAATGACAGGGCAGCGAAAACAAGGCCCCTGACATGGAACGAGCATGCCCCTCCTGTTCGCCTGACAAACCTTCGATGGCTGACTAGACAGTTGTGTATTTGAAAATATTTCTCCTTGATGTTTGCATGATATTTTGAAAATCTAATGACCACAGTCTCCCCTCCGATTCTTGAAGAAGGCTGAAATTATTAATGTCCTCTTGGCTCAGATTTTATACCTCTGAGGTCCTTCAGGGTTTAATAAAAACGACGGTGGGGGTGGGTTTGTTATGTGAGCATTTCTGTTCCATATGGGTGGACGTGGGTTTTTCCCTCGAGTGAATTATGCATGTGGCACCTGCTGCAGCAACCGCCTTCTGGCCAGAGTCTCCATCTCCCACCCCTTTCTCTTTTCAATTTTAAAAAAAATTTGTGGCTGGCACACACTTTCAAAGGTATTGCCTGTTGGCATGAGAAATGACCCAGATGTGTCTTCTTTCAGGCTCTACGAAGGCAAAGAACAGATGGAGTTTGAAGAATCTATGAGACGGCTCTTTGAATCAATCAACAACCTGATGAAAAGTCAATATAAAACCACCATCCTTTTGCAGGTTGGTTTACGCTGCAAAAATAATCTGTCTTTTCCCTTGGTCATTTGATAAACAATGACATGGTGAGATAATGTCTACTTTTGCTTGAACATGAAGCCCTGTGCTGGCTGAAGGCGTGGGCAGGCTACATGGTGTAATGGCCCCAAAGACCAAGGGCTCCGTAGGGCGGGAGAAAGCATGATTATAGTTTCCCATGAAGGTAGCAGTGCCTCTTTTAAAATAGCGCTGAAGCTTTTGCTACCTAGAAGCAAGTAGGTCAAACTTGATCCACTTTCAATGATGAGAATGGTTAAGGTGGCAGTTCCTTAAAATCATCCACCCTTTATTCTCAACACCGTAAACTCAGCTCTGCCTTTGAAGGAAGAGACTCTTTCAGGAAGACATCATAACTACACGTTTCTTGGGGTAAGGAATGAAGGGACAAAGGGCATAAGAAGGTAGGGGAAGGAAGGAGAAGGAAGGGAGGTGAGAAAGCCGATGAGCCAGTGAGCATTCACAGTACAGAGGCGACCGGGCCAACAAGACTCTTCCTCGTCAGCTGCACGACGTCTCAGTGTCTTATTTTCCTCATCTATAAAACTGCATTGTTTGGGTGAGGATCAAATAAACACTGTTTGAAAAAGAGCAAATTATAAAACGTTATGCAGATGTGGAGAACTAATATGATTATCATGGTTTTGGCATAAGTCTTATTACCTAGGTTCTTATTGTCTGGATAGCTGTGTTAGAAATGCCTCATTTTCTCTGGGATTCGGCCCAGATTATGCTGGTTTCTCTTCATGGATTTCTACCCCAGAGCCGTGGAAAGGGGCTTCATCTCTTTTTAAATTTGTTCTAAGGGCCAAATTTAACTTTAAGGATTTACATACGATCAAAGATGCTTTCTACCTATTTGTATGGTTTTTGAAAAATTATCAAAGAAGAATTTAAGGTCATATTCAAATATGGGAGCAGTACCTGAAGAGAATTTAATGTTGTTATGGGGTATGAGGAACGGTCCAATGAGGGGAGAGGGGTCAAAGCTGTGTGATGTTGGCAGACCCCACACATGGAATCTTCTCCGATGTTGGCATTTGCTGCAGGAGAAAGAGCTTTGGATTTTGAGCCAGAGAGCCCGGGGTGGGAGTTGGGTGTCCACACTTGGGCACACAAAGCTTGGCAAATCATTTTCATTTTCTGGGCCTCCATTTTTCCTCCTGTAAAATGGGAAGCCTAATGTCTAATGAAGGATTATTGAGAGGATTAAATAAAGTAATATATGATAGGGCCTGTTACATAGTTCAGTTTAAATAATGTTTAGTCTTTTATATCTCTCTCTCCTTCACCTCCTCATAAAACAGAAGCTTTGGGAGCATTTTCCCAGCCCAGGATCTGGAAGGGGATATTTGTGTTCCTGATCCTGTCACAGGAAGCCAAACAGTGTTAGGACATTCAGGTATTCGGTGAGATCAAAAAGCAGATATAAATTTCAAGGAGAATAACTCACAAAAACTGACTTTATTAAAAGAGAAAAAGGAAGGCAAAGTTTTACCAAGTGAAATAGCACCAGATGACTGGAGTCTCGATTCTGAGCCTGTGTGGGGTACAGTGGGAAAGAAGATCTATTAGTAATGTCTGCCATACGTTTTGAGTGAGAGCGCAGAGTGCCAGTGATTGACATTCCTGGTTCAGTCTTTACATTTCCAGCTGGTTAGCAGCTTGTGGTGGAAACCCTAATTCATGCCTGCCTTGGTTTGAAGTAGAGCTGATCTGCTTCAGTTTCAGCTTTGTCCATTGTGAATTCTGGGACCTAAACACGTTATTTCTGCTTTCTAAGGCTCGTCTAACTTTTGTGAATGGCTTTCTGTAGTTATCCTCATTGTTCAGCATTGTCATGGGAGCAGCTCACCCCAAACTGTGGAGAATTTAAAGCCAGTCATTCAAAGAGGGTAGAAGGAGCATTAAAAACACCTTTCATTTATTAAGTACCTACCATGTGCCCAGCACGAAGCTAGGCTTTCACAGTGTTTTTAATCCTGTCTTCAGTTTCCATAAGAGACTCATCAAGTTAAATAATTCATCCTAAATCACACCTATCCATAGTGATAGAGCTAGGATTTCAATCTACCCAGGTCTCCTAAATCCAAAGTTAATATTCTTCTCTAAGCCACAATAAATGGGTTAGGCTAGGCGGTGCCATGTGTTTTCAATAATGAGCCATATGCTAGAAGTCCGTGTGTATGCCAGCCCTTTAAGCATTGTTGATAAAACTGATGGCAGGTTGAGACAGTCGACACCAGACACTTGTGAATTGGATGTAGCTCGAATGTGAGTAAAGGGCATTTGGGGACACTGTGCAGACCCATTTGACTCATCCTCCTTCAGGTCTGTGATTCATCATAATGTTCTAATTTGGTGGTACCAGTAGAGATAAAAGAACAGCTCATATTGCATGACATGCTCCCTTAGCCACTATGATTGCCACTCCTGCTAATAAAGCCACTAGAGTGTACAGGAAGTCAGGGATATTATATATATCTCTAATATCTGAACCAGAGGCTGCCACATAGTAGGTACTCAAATATCTTTTGGCAGAATAAATGAAAGAATGAATACTAGCTTCTGCCGTTTTATGTTTTGGCATTTATTATGTGTTATGCATTAAGCTAAAAGCTTTACATATATTATTAGCTCGTTTGCTTTTTATAACAACAACCTTATTAGGGAAATACTCTGCTTATCGCTGCTTTACAGACGAGGAAATGGAGGCTTAGAGGGGTTGAGCAACTTAGCTACAGCTGAGAAGCGGCAGGTCTGGGATTTGAATCCAGGCTATATAAGCCCGGAGTTTGAGTTCCTAATCACCACCGAATGAACACAGGATAGTTTCATCAAGGACCCAAGTCTTCTGGCAAAATGCCAGGTGGATAAGCAATAAGCAACAGTAAAGATGGGCAGACGTTTGCTCTATAAGCACGGAGGTGAACTAATTAAGGATGCATCTTTCTTTCCTCTCTTTTTGTTAATTGGCGTAAAATATTCAAATGTTTGAACTAAGGGAAGAAAGTGGCCCATTCTTGAGAAGTGGCCTGCAGGCTGTGCGCTGAATCCTCAGACATAGGAGAAATGAGACGTAATATTTAACAGCAGGCGCTGGAGTGTCACCTCGTATGTAAATGATTCTTTAATTGTGCCCCCTTCTCAATTATACACCCATACTTAGGATTAATGTAATGATGGATTTATGATGAGTGGGATGAAATTTTGTTCTAATGAGGCTACTGTAGTCGTACTGATAGCTCACGTTTTTCAATTAATCTTCGCTCAGCCCTATAAAGTAGATAACTTTATTTCTTTCATTCACCTGGTAAGGAAACTGGAGCACATAGCATTAACTTTCCCAAGGACACGTAGATAAAAATGGTCCAACTGGACTAGAACACAGTCTGCCTCTTCAGCCATTTCGTACACCGAACATTTCTGCCTCCTGCGAGGCCTTGGGGGCCAGCATAATGTTGGGTTACAGAAAGCGTGGAGACATACGTATTCTAGAACCTCTCGGTCCCTCTTCCCTTCTCTTTTACTGAAAGATTAGTGACGAGGCTGAAAATCCTGAGAGTTGCATGCATTTTCCTCAGGGACAGCTCAGCGTCTCTCAGGGAGCTGCCTTCTGGTCACGTAGTAGTAAATGCCTGTGACATTGTTTCTCCAGTTTCTATGCACCTTGACTGTCCATCATTTGGCTGAAAAAAAGAGATTGAAAATTGATGGGATGGGATTATTGTCTGAGCCCTCGAACGAGGAAGCTGTCCAGTGTTCTTGTATAACCTCACACCATTGCACAATATTCTCTTTTTGGCTAGCAGTCTGTGTCAGCTGGCACCAATACTGCGCGTGCTCACTCTGTTTTCACGAGGGGGGGGGAGGGGGGAGTCTGGAAACACTCAAAAGACAGTTCTCCTTTGAGTTTGAGAGAATACAACTGATTTGCTTTGTTTATTATTATTATTAAATGTTTGCTATTTGTAGCTGCCTGGGTTTCTTAATTCTGGTGAAGTCCCTCTGGATAGCAATTTTTTAAGTGTCTTCCTGTGACTTCTCTCTGGGCCAGTAAAATCACTATTGCTTGGTTTGAGTCTGGCCCTCTTCTTGAGGGATATACCTGGCCTCTGGCAGAGGGGTCCAGAGTTGGTGATTAATCTAAGAAATTTATTTGGTGTCACACAGTAAACCAGTTAGTTATTGACCTGATAAATGTGACTATTCTTGCAACTCCTATACATGTGGTAAGGAGGATTCTTAACTTAAGGAATGTTGGAAAAACTGTACCTTCTTTCAGAAACTATCATCGTAAAGAGGGGAAGGTTCTTTATGTCCTCCACCAAATCAGGCTTTCCCCCCACTTGAGACTTCCCCACTTGCCAACATGGAAGCCATCCCTAAAGCAGGATGGGAAGAAGCAGAGCACACTGGTAAGGAGCAAGAATCAGGTATACAACCTTCCTAGGCTACTTATCAGCTGTGTGGCATCTGGCGAATTATTTAACCTCTGTGCTACAGTTTCCTTATTGGTAAAAAGAGATGATGGTATCTACTCATAGAGCAGATGTAAGAATGAAACAAGATCATGCATGTAAAGTGTTTGACACATATAACATTTCCAATAATAGTTGCAATTTTAAATCTCTATGATTAATAAGCCTATTATATGTGTATTTATTTCCCTATTATATATATGTATATTCATATATATATATAAACATATCTGTGTGTATTTCTCTTAAATATTATATGTAATATAGGAATGTATACTATGGAGTGAAATTAATAACATGACACAGTATTATTTTATGTAGAGTAGGGTCTTAATGAGAGTAGAAATAATAGTAACAGTAAAGCAACACAGCTCTCTAGGCCAACAGGTCTAGAAAGCCTAGCCGTTTCTAATTCCCAGGGCCTAGAAACATGGAGCAAGTGCTTATAGCTGAGCTGCTCTGTCTTCCGGGGATGGTTGTTGGTTGCACCTGCTGAGCCTACGGCTATCACTTCACTCACGTGTGCCAGGGCTGTGTGAAGTGCGGGACTGTCGACATGAGCCCCATGGCCAGCGCTGTGCTGTACAGTGGGGCCAAGACAAAAGACTTGGCAAACTTCTTGCGTCACAGATGGGCTGTCCCCACTGGAAAAGAAAACCACGGGCCTGCCGCTTCTCTGTGTGGCTGAAAGTTGAGTTGATAACACCCTCTGCAGCTCAGGGTGACAACTATTCAGGCTGTTTTACTCACTGCCAGTCCAGAACTAGGAAGCTGGGAAGATTGGCTCCTCCTTTAGCAGTCCTTCTCACAGCCCTGCCTGGCTCCTCCTCCCTGAGAGCTGGAGTGTGTACCTGTGAGCCCCACGCAGACTCCTGGTGGCTGCTGTTCTGCAGATCACTCCAAAGCCCTGCAACGATGTGTAGCCTTTGAAAGCCAGCAACTTGCTGCAGACACTGAAGTCGTGACTTTCCCCAGCTTGCTGAGGGTTTGTTTCTGTTTTTGTTCTCTCACTTTGGTCTTGATTATGATGAGTGCATCTTATACTTTGTCTAGTTGTGGGGAAATGAGGGCATGTGCTTAAGAGGTGACATAAGGAAAGATCTAGCACATACACTGTTATGGGCATGCTGGCCATTAGAATAGGCACATGGTATGCTTTGTTTCACATCATTCCCCTTGGTCCCACGTGAAGATGCTGAGGCTCAGGGTAAAGAAATGGGACGAGGCACACGCTGGTGCTAGCTGGAGCGCTGGGATTCCTGCCCTTGTCTCTGCGGGCCCAGAGCTCTGTGGTCTTCGCCTTAAGAATGGATAAAAGATAGAAGTGCTTGGACCAGCCCTTTTCAGGGTATCTGCCTCAGCCTATGGTATGTTTGAACAGCCTGCAGATGTGTTTGATTTGGCTAGCACAGTGTTAAAACAAGTCAACAAGAATGACCCATTCTTTAGACGGAGTGTGGGTTCCACACACCTCATCACTCCCCATGGGGCTGTGCCCATCTCATTTCACTGCTTTCTATTGCTTGCCCAGCCCTACAGGCATCTGCTTTAGCTACATATGCTTGGTGTTTCTCAATAAAGATGGGCTGAGCAGCTAGGTTGGAGTGCACTATGTACTACAGCCGCCTCGAGGAATGACATAACACATTTTAGCATATTAAAATTGTGAAAACTTCTGCAATGAAAAATAAAACTCAACAGTTTATCTTTGCTTAAACCAGACTTTCCCTAAATTATTTGAATGTAAATTCTTCCCCCCACCACAGAATACCTAATACCATCCTACGGGACAAGGGTGTCCCAATAGAACACAGTTTTAGGAACATGGGCTTTTGAATCTTGTTATCGCTTGTCATCTTGATTTGAAAGAATAAAGAAAATAAATCTCTAGACACAAAATCTAATAACTATAAAGAAAAAGTCTGACAAATCTGACAATATACAAATTAAAATCCTTCTGTGCAACGAAAGATACGATAAACAAAGCTAAAAGGCAAGCAACAGTCAAACTACAGGACGAGCAAGAGAAAATTTTTGCAAAATGTCTTACTGCAAAAAAGGGTTAATATTAATGATACATAAAGACTTCCATGAACCAATATGAAGTCACCCAAAAGAAAAATGGGTGAAGAATATGAACAAGCAAATTAATAAATATAGATGTTCAATAAATATAGAAAAGATGCCTACCTGCCCTGGAAACCAAATTGTTGCACATTATATATCAGACTGACAGAACTAAAAAGATTTGTATATCAGGGCTAGCAAGGTTATAGGGCCAGGAGTAAAAGGAAGTGGGTTACCACTTCTTCCTAAGGTAATATGATGCTATCTTCTAAAAGGTACATTTGTATATACGTATATACATTTTGAAACACTAATTCCTCTTCACGCAAGCAGTCCATCCATCCTACAGGGAATCTTACAGATACACTAATGTATATGTTAAATATTTTTCTTACTACATATTTTATAATAAAGAAAAACTAAAGATAGAATGGAGTCCGTCAGTAGAGGAGGGCTTGAAAAGGTACGGTGTATGTATGCACAAGGGCATTGCTGTGGGGCGATTAGAGAAGAGGAGCGAGCCCTCTGGAATGATGTGCAAAATGCCAGAGGTATGTGGTTAGCTGCAAAAAGCAAGTCGCAAAACTGTATAAATCCCACACACGTGCACGTGCACCTACATGCACACACACGATCGATCCTACATCAAAAGCAATCTGGAAGGACACTCACCGCTATGTTGACAGTGGTCCTTTCTGGGGAGTAGGGATTAAGGCTGAGATAGAGATGTGGGAACTCAGGAGCAATATTTACCCTATTAATTATCTTGTGTGAATTTTTTTTCATCAAACATTTATTACTGACTTTTAAGAATCACAAAGAACAAAGTGGAAAAAAGGATGGCGGCATAGAGAGAGACTCTTGCTATCTGAGTGAGGTGGGCATGGCATGGAGCTTCAGTTAGAGGGGTGAATTTACAAGTGCCCACCTGAATCTGAATCCTGGCACTCCCGTTTGCTAACTCTGTGACCTTGGGCTAGTTAGCGAACCTTTTGGGCTCTAGAGTTTTCTTATCCATAATAAATGTATTTCCCTTGTAGGGCTGAAATAAGGTATTAATCTAAAAATAAAAAGTCAAAATGAGAGACAACAAACATTTATTTGGGATCAAAAAAATTGCAAATCTTGGAGCACAGATTGAGGCAGAAACCCAAATAGTGTCCTGATTATAGGGTGAAGGCAAGGAGTTTTTAATGAGAAAAAGGAAAGGAAATAATTATAAGCATAGGAGAAAGGAATTTCTATTGGTGTTAACAGAGTTACTCTTCAGCCATACATGGCTGGTTACTGATTCTGCCTTCAGAAGGAGAGGCCATAATCGTCAGTCCTTGGGATCAGTCCCTGTGCTTTTACTCTTTGCTTTGCAAACAGTTGTTTTTAAGACCATATTGGTTTGCCTAGTCTAAAGGTTATTTTGCCCAGTTCAAACATTCCAGAGGTTCAAGGAGTAAAACGTGCAAGGCAGTTCCTCTAAAAAGGCTGTTCTGGCTCTACTTTGAAATGGCTCTGCTTATGTCATTTTTCACAAAGGTTTAACAAGATAATCTAACAACAGTGTTTAGCACGGTGTCTGCCCCACTGCAAGTTCTCAAGAGAACAGGCGTGATCGTTATTTATGTTAACTAAGAAGCTCAGTAAGATTTTCTTTAAGAAAGGAATTTTCACTATTTTAATTCTGGTTTAATTGTAAAGAATGATACCTATTGACCACAGAACACTTAGAATGTACAGGAAAATGAAAAGAAAATAAAAATGCATGCTTCCACTAGATTCTTAAACATTTTTTCCAGCCATGTGACTTAACCTGCCGCGGAAATGGCAGCCTCCTCTGCTGCTTAGCGAATGGTGCTTTTATGTGAGGGGTGGGTGTGTCTCCTGCCTCTGGATGCATCAATTAACTTGCACAGGAAAGAACAATCCACCACAATGTGCAGTTTTCTAAGGCAGCTAAACCATGCCCACGGTGGTTCACAAATTGGCCAGGGAAAGAAAATATACATAACTCAGTCCAAGCCATGCTTGCCACCAGCAAAACAGTCCGAGCACACCATCTTCCAAGAGTGATAGATGCTACCATTTATTGAGCATCTAAAATATGCCTGGCTCTCTGCTGCATGCCTCACATATCATTTTTAATCTTCACAATCCTGAAAAATAGGTATTATTTCTCAAGTTTACAGATGAGGAAATTGAGACTTCAGAGAGGTTAAGTGTTTTGTCCAAAGCCAAATGGCTATTAAGGAGTAAAGCCCAGATTTGACTGTAGGCCTGTATAACTCCAAAGTCTGTGATCTCTCTACTACATATCACTGCCTCCTTGAATATAGAGGACGTTGTGACTTACTTTTGCATTTCAAGTACATGCTACTGTTCTAATCTACATGTAGAGTCTTGAATCACTACAGCAGTGCCCAGGATGCAGGGTCATTCTCCCTTGATCTGTGTCAAGTTGCGAAGTATCCTTCTCACCTTACAGAGTTGTTAGATGTGGGCATCACTCATGTTTATTTCACTTCCCACCTAGGTGGCGGCTTTGAAATACATCCCATCTGTCCTCCACGATGTGGAAACAGTCTTTGATGCGAAGTTACTCAGGTGAGAGCTTATAATGTACTTTCCTGGGCTCTGTTATCGAGCCAGAGATTGAAAAGAAGGGGAAGGTTCTTGTAGGGAATTCCAGACAGGCAGGCAGGCACTCAACGAGGGGACAGAGAGGACACATGGTAGGAGCTTCCTATAGGGCCTTCAGTGTGAGATTATTACATTTTTGTTGTGTTATGTCAGACTTTGGTGAAAACTTACTATGAGATAAGCATCCTTCTTTGATGATACAAATACTACAGGATGCAAACTTGTAGATTAAAAGACTGATGTTTGGTGTAAATGACTCTATTTCACTTAGACTTGAAGATTGTTTGATGTTTCCCATCTCTGCCCTGAAAGCCCTTTTGCTTTCTCCTTCTTCACTTTATTCTTCTCATGAGGTGAATGCATAATCTTAATACGATTATGCTGTTAGAATGGGGCCATCTGAGCCAGATATGCCCTTTTCTTCTTTTCTTATATTCACTTAAGTTCCAAAATAGCATGTACAGGATTTAAAAAAGCTTTTTATATTGAAATACTTTAGGATGTAGAAATGAGTTGCAAAGGTGGTATAGAGTTCCCATACGCCCTTCACGTGGCTTCCCTTAGTATTCACATTTCCTCTAACTATGGTGTATCTCAGCGGTCCTTGACCTTTGTGGCACCAGGGACCGGTGCTCCTATGAGGATCTAATGCCTGATGATGTGAGGTGGAGCTGAGGCAGTGATGCTGGCGCTGGGGAGCGGCTGCAAATACAGATGGAGCTTTGCTTCCTGGCCTGCCGCTCACCTCCTGTTGTATAGCCCAGTTCCTAACAGGCTACAAACCAGCACTAGTTTGCAGCCCAGGGGTTGGGGACCCTTGGTATATCTTTCAAATCTGAGAAGTTAACCTGGGTACAATTCTATTCACTGCATGCCATACTTTATTCAGAGCTCACCAGTTTTTTCTTTACTATTGTCTTTTTCTTGTTTATGTGACCATTTCTGCTGGCTTCTTCTCATATTTCTGGTCTTAAACTAAATGCAATTTTCCTAGAGAAGCTACCTCTGTAAATAAATTAAATTCCTCCCCAGGTCCCTGCACCATTTCTCTCTGACACAACTCCCTATTTATTTTCTTCACTGTGTATATCGCCTTGTATTGATTTGTTTACTTCTGTGTTGTTTGTGGACCTCCATTAGGATATAAGTTCCATATTACCTGGGACCAAGTATGTTCCCATTGTGTCCCCACTGCTCTTCACATTGTCACACATTAAGTAGATGCTTAATAAGTACTTCAAAGAATGGATGAACGCAACGAGCTTATTTTTGAAAGCTGACAGGGGCTATAATTTTGTTTCATCGCTATTTTTATTTTCATTCTATTTGGGAAGAACTATCTTCTTTTCATGTCCCAGACTTGTTCTAACCCACAACTTTTCATAGCTTCTTAAAATTAAGGATTTTTTTTTTATCTTAAGACTTATCATAAAGCATTGCTAAGCATCAAATATTAGTAAATAAAATGGTATGGTAATGAAGTGAGGACCTGGTTTTAAACCCTTGTTTCTTTGACCGCCCTGTAACCTTTTCAAACTCTGTAACCTTGGGAAAGTTAGTTAACCTTACTAAATCTTAGTTTTCCCACTTTTAAAATTGAGATAAGTATTGGATCTACCTCACAGAGTTGTGAGGTTTAAATGGCATAATTGTAAAAGGCAAAGCCTGTGCCTGATACATAGTAAGTGCTCAGGGTTATTGGTGTTTCTTTCAGATTTTCACATCTCTGTGGATACTATTAGTATTCAACACCAACACCAACACCAACACCAACTACACGTATTTATTGAAGCCTTACTCTGCACCTGATGCTCTGCCAGGAATTGTGGGGTGGGGGGACAAGGGAGCTGAGAGTCGGGGGAAGAACTCTAAATGCCATGAGGAGGGAGACATTGGTCTAACTGGCTCTCCGTGCTCCCGTTTTTCCTGCCCTCAGCCAACTCCTTTATGAGTTCTACACCTGCATCCCCCCTGTGAAACTCCAGAAGCAGAAAGTCCAGTCCATGAATGAGATAGTCCAGAGCAACCTGTTTAAAAAGCAAGGTGAGTGCAAAGCATTCTGGGTAGGTGGGTGGGGCCATAAACCCTACGTACTCAGTGTTCCTCACGTGCTTGGCAGGGCAGAACAACCTGCCAGTTACTAAAACAGCAACAACTCTTTTAGTCTGAATAAATGCAAAAGTAGCTGACAACTTAGACATCAGAATCTAAACTGATTTTAGGAAACATTAGTTTGCATTGTCTATCTCTCCTGAGAAGGTTTAATTAGATGGTAAATTTGGAGTGAGATACTTCAGGTCATTCTGCTGTGAGGTTTTTCCCTGTATGGTTTATAGTTTCAACTTGAGAGGAATTAGGTGAAGTTCTTTTCAGTAAAAAGACCCTATAATGCAGTTCTCAAAATCTCAAGTGCAAGAATCTAGAGAGCTTGTTAAAACTTGTCTTGAGACCCATCTCAGAGATTCTGAGTAAGTAGGAATTAGTTTTCTCTTTTAGTTTTTAAAAGTGTAAATTATTTTTGAATAGGTGATACGTTTACATGGATCAAAATGCCAAGGCATGAAAGGGTGCCGCATGCGAAGGGTCCCTCCAGACCTGTGCATAGCCCCTCAGATCCTGTCTCTAGAGGCAACCAGCAGTTCCAGTTGCTTGCGTTTGCTTCGGGGACACTCTGTACATACGCAGTCAAATGCAAATACAGCAGGCCCTTGAACACGCGGGGGTGAGAGGCTCCAACTGCCTGCGTCTTCCAGAATCCGCATGTAACTCAAGTTGAGCCTCGGGATATACGGATTCCCAACCACGGAGTTGCCCTTTAACGACACGGGTTTGAACTATGAGGGTCAACTGAAGTGCACAGGTCAACTGAAAAAAAATCTATGCTTAAGTGGACCTGTGCAGTTCAAAACCATGTTGTTCAGATGCCACCTGTATATTTCATCTTTTCCCCTGGTTATCTACTACTATTATTACTCAAATAGGAGCATATTACACAACTGCTCTGTGCTCGCCTTTCCTTACTTGGTGGTATTTCCTGGAGAACAGGGCATGGCAGCGGGTTCGGGCAGGAGTTGTGGTCGAGGTTCTAATCACGCAAACTGATCTCTGACAACCACCAGTCCTCTGACCCCTAGTCCACTGTCAGGAGCCCTCCAGTTTTGAGCTCGGTGAGCTAGATGGCCGCATCTTCTCATGATACGAGCAGACAGAACTGAGGAGTCGTTGTTCACCGTCCACCTCGTCTCCAGCCACACTCAGCACTCCTGACATCACGCCTGTCTGTGAGGGTGAGAGCAATGACTCTCAAGGATCAGCAACGTTTTCCATAGCCTAAGATCAACCTTTCTGATTTTAAATTCCTCTCTACCCGTACTGGTGTCAGTGATAAAATGAAAAGGAAAATATGCAAGGAGCAAGAGGTCTTAGAAAGCAGAGGATCAATCATCACCCAACTAGAACTTATTCAGCGTGAAGCTTGAATATTTATGTAAATTGCCTGGTAATTACAGAAATATTCAGGAACCACTTCACTGCAAAGATTTTTTTCCCAGTGCGTAGTTAACATGGCACATGCACAATTGCTGTCAGAATCCCTGGAGTTAAGGGTAAGAGAAGGACTTGTGAAGAACAGTGTTCTTGTGATTTTTATATTCATGTCTGTAGTATGTGACAACAGATTAATGCAATACATATATGGTTTGTTTGTGTAAGGTAACTCGTGCAGTGTGATTAGAAACTAATCCTGCTAAGTCATGTTGTATTTCTTGCAGCATTAGATTTTTTTTTAAGTGAGCTTTCTGTGGTTTTCAAGTTCTGACTTCCACATCAGAATGAACTACCCTCACTCTAAAAGCTTTGAAATATGCCTGCCCCTTCCTGCCCTGGCAGCTCCTTCTTGGATTTCAGGTGGTATCACTGTAGAGATGAATTGAGTCCCGTCCTAGGGACGTGACAGGGATGACTCTAACCGCATGTGGTGCTGCTCAGGCATCAGAGAGCAGGGCTGCTTGGCTCACCTTCATTGTTCAGAGCTGCCATCCTTGTCAGGGGCCCCGCTTAGCATCAAGGCCAGGTGGAGTGCTACACCGTCCTGGATGGGGCACGTGGTGTCAGTTCCAGCCTGCTGGAAGTCAGCGTAATTCCTTTAGTGGAGTCACATCCCATGGGCTGGGTGGTGTCCCCTGAGGGTTAGCATAATCACAGGTCAAGCTGGACAGCTGCTTCTCACCAGTCCTGCTGTGTCTCTGAGTTTCAGATTCAGTTAAAACCCTGTGATTAATATTAACAGACAGAAGGCCAGCCCAGTGTTGTGCACAGTTACAAAAGAAATGCAGAATTCTGACCTTTAATACATACAGACACTACAAATAGGTGAACAGAGAGTGCTTTGGGGACCTATTTTAAAGTGGAGGTAATGTATGAACATCCTCGGCTCACAGGTGAAAGCAGTATGATCTTATGCACAGCTTAAGGTAACTCTTTCTACTGTTTATTTGCTAAGTCAACTCTCTTCCCAAAATAATCTCAAGGGGAAACTTCAGCTCATCCTCTTTCTCAAGTGCTCCAGTTCCAAATGAATGCAATCCAAGTTCATATATGCTTCCAGGGGGTCTGTGGCTCTTGGGTGAGCATCTCTCTTTATACCCTTCAATAAGGTGCATTTGATCCCTTGGCCAAGTCTAAGCTATAATGAAATCCCTCTTGTTCTTCTGTCTGTGATGTATCCTCTGCCTCAGGGATGTGATTTGCTTTGAGCCTGTGCTCATTTAGCTGCCAGATGTGCATGTTGCCTGGGATGTTGTCGGTGACACGGCGTGTACACCCAGCCTTGAACATTTGTATTGGCGTCAAGCAGAGGGCAGAAGGCTTTTAGGCACTTTCTGAAATGTTGGCAGACTATTCTGTTGGCCTCTCTTCAGGACAAGTCTATGGAGAAGGGGAGATTTACTGGTTAAGGGCACTGGTTTTTGGGTCTCACCAGGCCTCGGTTGGATTCTTGATTCAGTCCTTTATCAGCTGTGTGATGATGGCAATTTACTTAGCTTCTCTGATGCTCAGTAAGTTCATCTGTAAAATGGGGGTAGGGGGCATCTGTCTTAGACTGTTGTTGTGTGGGCTAATGAGACAGATAGTGCATTTAAAGTGCTTATCTCAGCTTAATGTCCCACACCGAGTGGTTGCTGTTGTTACTGGTGCTGTGGTTATTATTCCTGCT